ATAGCACTTTTAATAACTATTTAATTTATAAAAATAATAAATAATTTCCAAAAAATATTTTTCGTGTACTAAAATGATTTAAAATATTTATTTAACATATTAAAAATATAAAAGATCATTTTATGCATAAATAATGTAATTATGCATTAGTATGGCTATTATTGCAAAGATGTGCAATTTAGCCCAAAAATGTAAATATAATTGTAAAAAAAGCACTAAAATATTTAAACTCTTAAATAAAGAATTTAGATGACTAAATCATCACAAAAGTGATTTGAAGGATAATTATTGGATATTTATATAAATAAAAAGGGAAGAAATAAATTGATTTGGAGCTTTTAAAATTATAGAAAAATTATAAAAAATATTTATGCATGCTTATAACTGCATATGTGCTATTTTGAAAGTATATATATGTTTTAAAATATGTGAGGGGAAAATTGGGTATCAACAGTAGTTAGGTGTGTAGTTAGCAAGGTGGTTAATAACTTAACTAAAGTTAGTAGTTGAGTTAGAAAACTCAGTGTTTTAGAACATTAAGCTATATATATATATATATATATATATATATATATATATATATATATATATATGCACTTCAGCTCATTTGTAGAGTATGAAAAAATGAGAAATGTTCTGACTTTCTCTCCAAGTTTTCTTCTTCTTCAATTCTAGTTCTCTTTGCATTACTGCATCTGATAATGACACAACACTTCACTATAAAAGCCAAGCTTTTCCCGAATCAATTTTTATGTTATGTTATAATATAGGCAAAATGCCAAATACATAGACAACCACCTAAAGTTGCCATGCTTTTTCACTTAGACACCTCAACTAAGGTTGTTTCCTATCGAACACCTAATGTTAGTAGGTAGTGTGTCTATTGAACCCTTCTCTGACAATCAGCCAAAACAATAAAGTATGTGTAACTCACTTGCTGATGTCGTGGCAAATAACGAATGAAACAGAGATACGTGGCTTTAGGCCTAAGTAATTATTGAAAAATTGCTATTGACCCAAACAAAATATATTTTTGCATCCCCCGACCATTCCTTCATCTTCTCTCCCCTCCCCCATTCAAGGAACTGAACAACCAAAATAAGCAAATATTAGAACATAGTGTTAAATATATTAGAACCTACTAAGTCGGGAAAAATGGAGAATCTATTATATGAAAAATATAGAATGCCATGACAGTTCAGGAGAATGCTTTTTGCTTGAAAGAAACCCACTTAACCCTTTAATGGTAGAAAACAAAACACTGTCATTTTTTGTATTTGACATCACCAGAATGCATTATTTTTAAGGCTCTAATCAAAACACATCTTCAAAATACTAATAGAAGAAGGGGATAATCTGCTCTTGAAATTTAATTTATTTCTTTACACGAATTAATGGGTGTAAATTTATTTGTTTTTCTTTATGAAACTGTAAATGTGTCTTTTTAAAATGAGATTTCATTGAAGAATGATCAAAATTTATTTCCTGGAAGAAATGGATTTGGTCAAGTCACCTT